GAAAGAAAGAAAGAAAGAAAGAAAGAAAGAAAGAAAGAAAGAAAGAAAGAAAGAAAGAAAGAAAGAAAGAAAGAAAGAAAGAAAGAAAGAAAGAAAGAAAGAGGATGTATAAGCAAAATCTCAGTGGCCCATCTCTAAAATGGAGATCATCACAACCTCGTGAGGACGCAGGGCATAAAACCTGGAAAATGTAGCCCCCCCTCCCAGCTTGGCCACCTGTCTTCTACTCCTCTTCCTCGCTCACTTGTCCCCTTTGGTTTTGAAGAACTGCAAACAGCTGCCCTGCTTGTCTCTTTATCTCCCCAAGAAATGGACATTTTTCTCTCTTGCAACCCCTTCAGTTGGACGTCCGCGGCCGCCTCGTAGAAGGCTTCCTCTTTTCACAGTTTTGGCAAAACCCCACGTCACGTTTGCAGCGCACAAGAGAAAAAAGAACATGAGATTTCGCTCATGTCCTCGTCTGGTATTTCTAAACAAACAGATCCGCTCTCTGCTGAAACACTGAAGAACAGAAGGAAGCTCGTAGGGACTAGAGACCGAGTGCTAAATGCAAACAGAGGAAAACTTTAATGGTTTCAAGGGGAGGAAGGAAGGAAGAAAAGCTATCTCTTTCTCTGAAGGAGGAAAAGGAAGCTCCAGGTGGCCAAAACCTTCTATTTTAAGGTGGAAACTCCGTGGAGGGGACAGGATGTCCAGGGAGGGAGAAGACGACTGGAAAGGCCATATTTCTGTGGTGCCTTGATATCTGTCCAATTATTCTTGACAGCGCACATATATGCCTGAAACCGGAGCCTTAGTGTACACACTAAACCTCCCGGATCTGTTTTTACGGCCCAGTTTTCTCTCCCTTAGGATAAGCTAAGCCCAGTTAAGCCTTTTATATTGAGGCAAGTTTCCTGCCTGAGGCATCTATCATGTCCTGTCCCAGGGATCTCTCTGCTCAACCCTAAGTCCCTTTTACTGGTTCAGCGACTCAGGATTCGCCTTCCTCGGCAGAACAGAGGCATAAACCGACTCTTCCCTCTTTGCGAGGGGAGGGCAGGGAAACTGTCCCACAACTGGGGTGTCGCAAGTCAATCTCAGGTTTCTTCCCCCTGACCTGGTCTGGTTGGTAGGTTGCATTCAGAGGTAGACTGCCCTGGAATATGGAAGGGTGCCATCTTTCTCCATTTGGACACAGCCCCTTTGGGGACCGCCCTCCTTCCTCCTCGTGGGTCTCCTTCCATCAGCCGTTGAAGCCGACCACCAGCCACACCTTGTCACACCAAAACTATTCCGTCTGTCACTGAGAGGTATGTTTTCTTGTCTGTGTTTCTGGTCCGTTTCCTGGAACAAGCCTTCCTTTGCTCCAGGAGAAGGGGCAGAAAGTTCTCGCTCTCCACTTTGCCCCCACCAAGCTTCCTTTTTCTAAACCCCTGCCATGCTCCGACCCTCACTTGGCTTTTCTGTAAAATAAAACAGCCGACAGGGCTTCCCCTTTCCTGTTTGGGGCAGACGTTTGACCTTGAAAGATGCAATGGGTGCCCAGAGAGGGTTGGCCAGAAAAACGGTGCGTCAAGAGAGGGGAGTGATTGAGGCAGGAGGCAGGGCCTCCCAAATGGCTCCTCGTTCCAAGTACAGTGGTGCCTCGCTAGACAATGATAATCCGTTCCACTTAAATTGCTGTTTAGCTAAATCATTGTCTAGCGAAAAGCATTTCCCCATTGGAATGCATTGAAACCTGTTTAATGCGTTCCAATGGGGAAGAATCGTCGTTGTCTAGCGAAGATCGGCCATAGGAAAGCCGCCTTGCGAACCGCCGATCAGCTGTTTAAATCGCTGTCCTGCGAAGCTTAGGTCCGAAAAACACCTGTTTTGCGAGCGCGGAGGGAGCTGTCAAAATCGTCATCTAGCGAAAATCAGTTTGCGAAGCAGGGACCAAACATTGTCCAGCGAAATTCCCCCTTAGGAATCACTGTTTTGCGAATCACTATAGCGATCGCAAAAATTCAATGTCTAGTGAAAAAACTGTCATGCGGGGTAACTGTCTAGCGAGGCACCACTGTAGCTCACCCTGCCTTGTGTCAAGTTTCATGAGTCTTTTCACCAAGGACCTCAGCCTGGGTAGAAGCATCACCGCTTCTGGCAAGAGCGAGGGTGGGTTGCAAAGACATGCCTCTGATCCCGTTACGCCTCTGATCCTGTTGGAACGGGTCATTTCGACAGGAGCGATCGCCCTTCAAGCTATCTGTCGGTCTGCCAGGGAACTGCTCAGTCTGGCCCAAGAAAAGGAGAAGCCCCAGGAACCGGGGTCAGCCTGGAGCACTTTTCCCTGTGCATCACGCGATGGCACCAGGCACATCCAAAATTGCCCTGTGTGATCACACACCCTGAGTGACTTCCAGAGGACTAGGGGCTGGCACCGACTCTCGCAACTCTGGAAGCCCCCCAATCCCAATTTCTTGGACAACAGCGTTTTTCTCAGACTAAAACATCCCCCACCTTGTACTCTCCAGTGACAACCAAGAGGGATTAATATTTGTGTGTGGGGGGGCGCTCCATTAGGGCCTCAGGGAGAGCCCCACGATCCATAAAAGGCTGAACTTGCCAAACTCACAAACTAAAGCAAGGCAGAGCCGCCCTTCCTCACCAAAATATTTTTTGCTAACACCAAGCACTAGAACAGAAGGGCAGACCTCTGGACGCTCACACGAGAGGCCTGCAGTTGTTGCGTGACCTTGAAATGAAGACCGAGCCAAAGAGGACACCCCCCTCCAACACTCCACCGACGGGGCACAAGCAAATCAAAGCTCAAAAGCGCTGACTTTTGTAGGGATCCCTTTTGGGAAAGGTGGCCGGGCCCCAACATTTTGCAAAGCTGCCGCAGCCGAAGCGCAAACTCCGGAGGCTTTGCCGTGAAAGGGGGAGGGAAAAAAAGCCCTTTGCACATTCCCGAAGGTTCTTTTCTGCTTTATTACTGCTTCACAGGTGCAAAACCACCTCTTGGTTTAGGTTTTGGAACTCAGCCGCCACCGATGTCTGCTGCAAGAGGGCCCCAATCAGCAGAGAAAAGACTTAATTTTTAGCCTTTGCTTGTACCTGCAGGCTTTCGGTACAGGTAGACCGTGCCGGGGATGGAGTCGGAGCCCTCGAGAGATTCTTCCTCGGAGGTTGCTTTCTCCCAGTCCGCGACCTCTTGCACCGCCACCTTTTCGCACAACCTTTGCCGTTCCAGGTCGTCCAGCAGCCGCTCCAAGTGAGCCTTGTAACGCAGGTTGCTCTTATTGCTTCGGGTGGTCAAGCAGAGGTAGCCCCCTGCGAGAGAGACAGGTCGGAAAATGTCACGGAAGAGACCCAGGCAAAACCCTCTGCCCTTCCACACAAGCTTCTTCCCATTTCTAGGCCCACTCTTTAAGAATAAAAGATCACACCAAAGCAGGGAGGGGGGAACTTTACACCGTTTTGATTCCACAACTGTTTCATAATGTATTTCATTGCCTTTTATCTAGGTTCTTCTCTCTCTCTTTTAAAAAAAAAGTACAGTGGTGCCTTGCTAGACAGTTACCCCAGACAATTTTTTCGCTAGACAATGAATTTCTGCAATCACTATAGCGATTCGCAAAACAGTGATTCCTATGGGGGAATTTCACTGGACAATGTTTGGTCCCTGCTTCGCAAACCGATTTTCGCTAGACGATGATTTTGATAGCTTCCTCCGCGCTCGCAAAAGAGGTGTTTTGGGGACCTAAGCTTCGCAAGACAGCAATTTAAACAGCTGATCGGCGGTTTGCAAAGCGGCTTTCCTATGGCCAATCTTCGCTAGACAACGACGATTCTTCCCCATTGGAACACATTAAACAGGTTTCAATGCATTCCAATGGGGAAATGCTTTTTGCTAGACAATGATTTCGCTAAACAGCGATTTCAGTGGAACAGATTATCATCATCTAGTGAGGCACCACTGTACCTTTTATTTTAAATTCCTTTGCAAGCTGCTGTGTGGATCTCTGTATTGGGGGAAAAGGAGGGAGATGAATGAAATCAGTTTCATTCATAAAAGGGAGCGGGTTGGAGAAATTTCCCAGGCACCGCTGAAACAGACAAACGGCTTTCGGTTCATCTGGCTAGGGAGCAGAGGGGGGGCTTTGGACCACAGAAATATACTGGCGAAACTGGTAAAGATTTCCTATCACCTACTTGGAAGGGAGGTGAAAACTCATTTTTGGAAAAAGCAGGAAGGATGGAGAAGAAACAGAACCACACAGCCCTCTTTCCTACCCCATGGCCAAGTGTATTAAAAAAAAAATCCCAAAACAAACACATCTGAAATGGCCCTTCTGCCTTTCACGTCCCCGTGCACTTCAACACCAAGATAAAAGCTTGTGAATGTACTTTCACGTGGGTAAAAAATGATAAAGGATATCTCAAAAGAACCGGAGGCTGGACTGATTGTCCACTGCTATCTTTATTCATTCACCTATTTGTTTCATGTCTACGTCGCCTTTCTCCCACTGGGACCCAAGGCGGCTTACAGCATAGGTCTTTTTTTTTTTAAGCATTAAAATACAGTACGCTCCCAATATTAAAACAGAACTAAACCCTGTTATGGTATTAAAATTCAGGCATGACCTTTTAAACGCCACGTGTCTAAATAAAAATGGATGTAGTCCAGAAGACCAGCCAATGAAATAAATCTGTATATTTTAATATTTTCAGATTTTAAGAGCTTTTCCTCCCCTTCCCTCCCCTGCTGTTGTTGTTGTTGCTGCTTTAGTCTGTTTTATTTCTGTGACGCCTCCTTTCAAGATCTAGGCTGGGTCTTCGGATGTATCAGCCTACTTAGAAAGTGACACCCAGCAGAGGATCACAGTGCCATCTTGTGGCAGGAGCTCAAACCCAAGATCTACTTCCAAATCTTCCCCAAGCTCTCCCTCTCCTTCTGGGGGAGGGGGAATTGAACTACATAATTCCCAACAAGATGGGAATTGTAGTCTAACAAATCTGGAAGATGCCAGTTGGGAAAGCTTGGTCTAATCAATCCAATATTCTGGGTCCCAAAAGCGGCCAACTGGATGGCTTTAGCAAACCCTTAAAAGGTTGCGGAAGCCCTCCGTGTTCCTTCTTTGCTACTCCCTAATACTTAAGAGCACTGCTCCTAACCATGGAGGTTCCACTTATCTCTCATGTCCTGGAGTTGCCACAACACTTCCTCGGCTCGTCCATGAATCTGCCTAATCTCTTTTCAGAAAGGGCAGCTGAGCTAACGGAGGCTACCCTATTTATTTCATTTATCGTATTTGATTTGAATTATACCTTTTTCCGTTCTCCACCAAACTGAAACTCACAGCAGTTTACCAGATTAAAACAAATCCAGATTTTTTTTAAAAAAAAATTCAAATACAGGAAAGAAATGTATAAAGGACAATCATTTCTAAAATGCAATTAAAGCTAATAGTACTTATTACTCAATTTAAAACATATTCATTTGTTTAAAGAAAACAGAGTAAGCACACCTTAAAGGCTCTTTCCTAAAACAGCCAGTTAGTTGGTGAAAGTCCAAGGATTGGGTGGGTGGGGGGAACAGTCTTTGCATGATACCTGGGAGGATCACATCCTAGATTCTTGTGGTGGGGAGTTCCACTGTTTCGGAGCAGCCACCAAGAAGGCCCTGCTTCATGTCCTCACCACGCATCCCTGTGGGTTTGGTGGGACTAATGAAAGGGCCTTTTCTGATGATCTGAGCTTGGGCAGGCCCATATGAGAGCAGGGCCCTTCCCATAGGGTGGCCCCACTGCCTTTTGGGAGCGTGTGGGGTTATCCCTCCCTCTACCCATCCTAAATCTCCCAGCCAGTCTGTTTCATTAAGATCTGTTTTGTAAGAGGGGGTTTATTTCCTTCATCAAACGAGGTCACACAAGGAATTTTGGGATGGAAGATACAAATAAGGTATGGAAGGGGTTTTGACTCAGATTTAGAGGGCTACCCTCGTCCAGCTATTAAAACCCGTCTGCTGGGTCTGCCGATGATTACGCCTAAATTCAATGGATCTAAAGTTTTGCTATATGTGAAAACTGTGTGTAAGGACTGAAGAAGCCTCTTTATCCCAAGGGCGACCATCGGCTCCTCTAGTGCAATCAAGTCTCTCCAACAGCCGGGTCTGTCTCGCCTGGAAAAAACATATGAGAGCAGGGCCCTTCCCATAGGGTGGCCCCACTTCCTTTGGGGAGCGTGCAGGGTGCTCCCCCTCCCTCTGCCCATCCTAAATCTACCAGCCCGTCTGTTTCGCTAAGATCTGTTTTGTAAAAGGGGGTATAGTTCCTTCATCAAATGAGGTCACACAAGGGATTTTGGGGTGGAAGATGCAAACAAGGTAAGGAGAGGGCTTTCAGGGCCCTTCCCATAGGGTGGCCCCACTTCCTTTGGGGAGCGTGCAGGGTGCTCCCCCTCCCTCTGCCCATCCTAAATCTACCAGCCCGTCTGTTTCGCTAAGATCTGTTTTGTAAAAGGGGGTATAGTTCCTTCATCAAATGAGGTCACACAAGGGATTTTGGGGTGGAAGATGCAAACAAGGTAAGGAGAGGGCTTTGACTCAGGTTTACAGGGGCTACCCTCGTCCATCCTCATCTGCTGGGTCTGCTGATGATTACGCCTAAATTCAATGGATCTAAAGTTTTGCTGTATGTGAAAACTGTGTGTAAGGACCGAAGAAGCCTCTTTATCCCAAGTCTCTCCAACAGTCGGGTCTCGCCTGGAAAACAAAACAAAACTCACTTGGTTTGGTGACACGGAGCAACTCCAGAAAGACCTCGGGAGGTACCTGTCCCTCGCTGAGTGCGCCCACGATCACAACGGCGTCGTAAAAGTCTGGGGCAGAAGGTGCAGCATTGGTCAGTTGTGGAGGGAGGGTGTGTGTGGTGCAACACTGCCAATAGACCAGCTTCTGGTTGGGCATTTGGGGAAGGTTTGCCTAGCTTGCCATGGCTAATTGTGATTAACTGACAAGGTGCTGAGGGGTGGGTCCGTCACGTGCCTGGTCAAGTGTCCGATTGTGCGCCCCGAATTTTCTCAGCCCCTTGTCAGCTACCTATCATTGGTTGGTCGCAAATCTTATGTGAACACCACCCAGATTCCCTCCACTAGTCCAATCAAGCCTCTCAAACAGCCGGGTCTGTCTCGCCTGGAAAAAAAAAACTCACTTGGTTTGGTGACACGGAGCAACTCCAGAAAGACCTCGGCAGGTACCTGTCCCTCGCTGAGCGCACCCACGATCACAACGGCGTCGTAATAGTCTGGGGCGGAAAGAGCAGCATCGGTCAGCTGTGGAGGGAGGGGGTGTGTGGTGCAACACTGCCAGTAGACCAGCATCTGGTTGGGCATTTGGGTGAGGTTTGCCTAGCTTGCCGTGGCTAATTGTGATTAACTGACGGCCTAAATTCAATGGATCTAAAGTTTTGCTGTATGTGAAAACTGTGTGTAAGGACCGAAGAAGCCTCTTTATCCCAAGTCTCTCCAACAGTCGGGTCTCGCCTGGAAAACAAAACAAAACTCACTTGGTTTGGTGACACGGAGCAACTCCAGAAAGACCTCGGGAGGTACCTGTCCCTCGCTGAGTGCGCCCACGATCACAACGGCGTCGTAAAAGTCTGGGGCAGAAGGTGCAGCATTGGTCAGTTGTGGAGGGAGGGTGTGTGTGGTGCAACACTGCCAATAGACCAGCTTCTGGTTGGGCATTTGGGGAAGGTTTGCCTAGCTTGCCATGGCTAATTGTGATTAACTGACAAGGTGCTGAGGGGTGGGTCCGTCACGTGGCTGGTCACGTGTCCGATTGTGCGCCCCAAATGTTTCTCAGCCCCTTGTCAGCTACCTATCATTGGTTGGTCGCAAATCTTATGTGAACACCACCCAGATTCCAGTTGCTGTCTGTCTGTCTGTCTGTCTGTCTGTCTGTCTGTCTGTCTGTCTGTCTGTCTGTCTGTCTGTCTGTCTGTCTGTCTGTCTGTGACTTCTATGCTCCTGCTTGTCCACAGGCCACTCTGGGCGGTTTATAGCAATAAAAATAACCCATAATCACAGCAACACACGAAAGCAACAACCCCAAAAGTGAAGAAATAATAGTTAAATAAAGTTAGAAGTAAAATACAAAATGAGCAGTGCAATTAACTCCATTAAAAAGCATTAAGAGCTGGATGGCGGTTAAAACAATAGCTGGCAGAAAAAGCAATCTCCTCCAGTAAAATGTATTGGAAAACCTGCCGGAATAGCATAGTTTTTAATGTTTGAAATTGGAAATTGCCGGGCGGATTTCAGGCAGTAATTCATTCCAGAGACAAGGAACCACCACCAAGAAGGCCCTGTTTTTTCTTCTCTCCCTCCTGGCCTCCCTTGGGGTTATTAAGACTCATTGGCCACAAAATTCACATACCAGATGTCCAAACATGTACACAAAGGTAAATCCGTTCACTCAGGATCCCAACCCCTTCTCCTCCACGCCTTAGCCTGCCCCATATCTCTGGAGACAATCCTGCCCCCACTGTTACCTTCTGGAGCTGGCAAGGACCCTTGGCCCAAGAGACACTGCTTCAATTCCTGGTATAATCCCTTCTGACGTGCCAGTTCCAGCATCCCCGGGCTGCCGTCCACGCCGTGAAAGTGGCGGAAACCCTTGGCATGAAGCTAAAAAGGGACAGAAGGAGTAAAGGGATTAGAGAAACATTGCTCGAATTTTTTTGTTTTCCTTCTCCCTCCGCATGGCCTTTTCCTTTCGTGTCGTGTCTTTTTCTTTCTACAGATGGCAAATCTAAAAGCAGGGATTGTCTTGTTGACTGGTTTAGCGACACACAAACATTTCCAAGGATCTTTTCAACCCTCCAAACAGGGAATCAATAATATAGAAATCGGAACAAGAATCCCTAGCTGGGATTTCCTTTGTTCCCACTACCTCCTTAAATGATGAGCAAAACTGCCTTTCAAGAGACCAACCGTGAACCTTCCATGAACTGAGCTATGGAATTTGAGATTTTTTTTCCAGTTATTTTGAATACAAGGCCTGGTGAAAACGTCAAGGGAGAGGGGAGGTTTAGCCTGGCTTTTATTTTTTGTTTTTCATCTGTCTCGCAGAGGAGGGAAGGATAAAATAGGGGAAATCTGCTGAGGCCCCATTGTTAGAGGGAAGACAGGATGTAGAAGTGCATAAATGAATAGACGGCCAGCCCCTTTCAAGTGTGGGTCCGATGACCAGACTCCATAAACCCAGACGGAGGTTGTCTCCTGTTACCTGCCTGGTTAAGGTTGGGATGAGCCCCTCCATCTCACCTCTTGGGCCACGAGTCCAGTCCCACAGGCCACGTCTAGGACCACCGCATCCTCAGGGGGTCCCCGGAAGACGGAGGCTAGGCAGGCAGCCGCCAACTTGGGGGCCTGATACTGCAAAACGCCAACATCCTGCCGGAAATTTGGGGTGGGGAGGAGAGGATAAAAAAAAAAGAGAGGATGTTGGTTGGTTATTTGCTTCAGGCATCCATAGCATCCTCATGGTGGAATTAATAACCCCTGTTTCTAAGAAAGCTGAGTGTTGGCAACTGGACTGCAATCAGGTGGACACTGAATCTTGAGGGGGCCAGGCGGGGATTTCCAGAGCTCAGTTCCCCCCCCCCCCCGCCAACCACACAGTCCCTCACCTTTCCAAGCCCAGGTCGCTTGAGGTGAGATGAAGACATGGGCAGGGCAGAGTAGTGGTTAGAGCCTCATGCTGGGATTTGGGAGATGTGGGCTCAATGAAGACCCCTCCAAACCAGGACCCAGCTCATTCGGCGCTCTCTGCCTGTGTGTGTGTGTGTATTTTGGGGTGGTCTGGGTCCCCCTCGCCCCACCCAAGCCGCCTACCCCTCTTTAACAGCCGCCTAAAGTTCCAGCTGCGCCTACAGTCGCTGCCTCGGGAGGGGCGGCTGGAGAGAAGGAACTCTGCCCATGCTCAAGCCGCCTCTGGAGGCGCAGGAAAGCCCAGAAGGGAGAGGAGGAAGGAGAAGGGGAGGCACCTGCTCGTACTGCGGAGCCCAGCCGTCGTAGAAGCGCCGCTGCTGCTCCGGATCGGTGCCGCGGTGCAGCTCAGCCACCCGGCACTGCACCTCCGCCAGGTGGCCCGAAGCAGAGGCCATGGCGAGCGGACCGGGGTGGGAGACCAAGTGGATCCCTTTCCCTGCCACTTCCTTGGCCCCGATCCTACCAGGAAACGCCCCGCGCCCTTGTCTCCTCTCACCCCCACCCCACCCCGAGGCTCTTGGATTCAGCTGCGGGAGAGGACGGGTGCAAGGGACACGGAGGCGGAGGCAGGGCTGGGGGACTACAGTTCCCAGAATCCTCCCTACTTCCCCGGGGGATTCTGGGAGTTGTAGTCCCATTCCCCTTCCGAAAGGGGCTTTCCCACGCTCTGCCCCCTTCCCCCGAACTGGCTGGCCGAGGTGGGGTGGGGAGACTGTCGATGGATGATGGGAGTTGTATTCATTCCACACACACACACACACTAAGTCGACTCCCGCAAATGCTTGTAGGGGAGAGGCGCGTCTTAAAGGGAAGAAAGGCCAGCGCTCGGGAAAGGGAACTGGCATTTTTTGGAAGGCCGGGGGGGGGAAGTCTGTCCCCCAGAATCCCAAAGCCCATCTGCCCGGCCCGACTCCGAAACGAGCGGCTGATGTCGGCGCTCGGGTTCCAACCTCCATCCCTTTCTTAAACGGCCCAGAGACCCTCGTTTTAATTTCTGTTTCGTTTTCGTTACGTTACGCCCAGAGCCTCCCGGAAGCGATGGGGGGGGGGCTCAAGAGAGGCTTAAGAGGGGGGAGGAATCGCCCATCAACGCGGAACCTCTTTCTGCCGAAAACAGCCTTGCCGGCCTCTTGAGATCGAGCGGACTCTAGGTCCCATCATCCGCAGGCGGCGTGGCCAGCGGCTGAGGAGGAGGGGAGGGGGGGGAGCCATGATTCTTTGGTGGGCGCCCATTTCCCCACCCTTGTAAGAGCTGGGCAGAGGGTCCCGTTTAGGCGGTCGGAGGGGTACCAGAAAGACACCCCCCCCCCGGTTTATATTGATCGATTGAAAAATTTAGCTTGAAATATTTTCTCTGATCCTGCAGTGGGAAAGCTTCACATACGCACATTACCTCTTGAAATGGTTTGGAACCATTTGTGTGTGTGTATTCATATTTACAAATGTACACATAACATTTTCATTATGTATCAACTTAAAAAGTGTGTTTATTTTTTTAAAAAATGTAACCCAGTTGGATATTTTGTTATTATCCTTTGGGATGCTTGTCTTATAAGAGGAAACAAAATCCACTGCTTGGCTTCTTCCAAAATGGGGCCTTGCTTTCTGGGGGAGGTGCTGCTTCCTCCTCCTTCTGCCTGGTGGGGAGAGGGCTGGACGTGAAACCCCAAGATCAGTGCCTTGTACCCCAAGATCCTTCTGCCCTAGGATGCTGATGAGGCTTGTTGGGAAGGTCAGAGCTCCGTTGCCTCCCTCCTGCCCATTTAAGGCAGGACAGGCATCCCAGTTTGGGGGCCTTTGCCAATTTTTGGGGGGACCTGATTGGAAAGCAGCAGAAAAGAGGAGAGCCACTCCGCTGAGCATCCTCCCAGATCGGGATCAAAGAACCCCCTTGCTGCTCCCATGACAACTGGGGCTGCCGGGTCCCTCTTGCCATGGCAACAGTTCCTCCTCTCTTCTCCTGAATCCTTCTTCCTACAGGGTAGCAGGAGGGTGGGTGAGATCGAGGGAAGGACACACAGAGGAGCCGGGGGGCCATAAGGACAGAACCGTGCTCCCCTTATTTGACTCCAGCGGCCTGATTCTGATTAGGGCGCCACCTTCATTTTCACCTTTGCTAACACCGAGATTGCCATGCCCTGCAGTGCTTCTGTTCCAAGCCAAAACAGAGGCACGTCTGGCAATCCGAGGCTATGACTTCCCCCATGCTGGAGTGTTAGCAATAATTAACGGGTGCAACGAGAGAGCCACCCCACTCCACGGCAAGTTGAACATTTGAGCTCCTAGTCTCCATTTAGAGAAGAGGCGGAATATGAACCCAACAGAGAAAGCAGTGCAGGGAGAGCAAGGGGATGATGCTGAGGGTTGGACGGCTACGACATCACCCTTGAGTACCATCATGACGTCACAGCTGATGTCACAGAGCTGGAAGCTGGCATCTCTCTTGACCAATCCTGCTTAGGGCTGGCTGGAGCAAAAGGGGTCCTTCCTGGCCCAGAAATCACTGGACTTTGAAAGGTTTTGGGAAGCAACCCCCCATCTCAGAAACCCCCAGAAGGAAACCCCACGGCCAGCAGCGGGTAAGAGCTCTGAGAAAGATCCGCATTAGTTCTAAGCTTGAAAAAGTCCATCCTTAGGCCACCTCCTTTCCCCCTCCTGCAGGAGGAACCCTGAGGTTCATCCACTGACGGCAGGTGAAAAAAAAATAGCATTTTAAAAGGCAGCCCTGTTCATCCTTTTTTGAGCAAAAAGCCAGAAACGGATGGCTTGTGGCATCTTTAAGAAACTCATCCCACCTTGACCGCTTCCACGGGTTAGCCTTAGGTCTGCAATCCGTGAAAGTTTCCCCCCCGGGGGAAAAAATAAAAGAAGTGTTCCTGCTGAAGCTGCCACAAGACTTTGGCTGTGAGCGTTGTGTGGGTTTCAAGTGCAAAAACATTGGCCCAGGAAGAGAAGGATCAACGTTGATGATGAGGAGTGCAGGGAAGCCTTTGAAGTGGGACCCAGTCCAGGACTGTTCTGAGTTTCAGAACAAAGCCACCTGTTCCCCTTTCCCACAAAGCCTTTTTTTCCCTTCCTTTCCTGCTGTACCCCAATTTTGGAAGAAATGTCATTTGCTACTGATTAGCCACTGGAGGCTGGAAACCCTGGATGATCGACTGCCAGTGACTATCGGTTGTCCCTCGTCTATGCCAAGGAAGTGACTGTCTATTCTGTTTATATCGTGCTTTCCCTCCCATGGATGTGATCGACTGCCAGTGACTATCGGTTGTCCCTTGTCTATGCCAAGGAAGTGACTGGCTATTCTATTTATATAGTGCTTTCCCTCCCATGGACGTGTGTGGCTTCTTCTCCCACAACCCCAAATCGGTGAGGTAGGCCAGAATTTGCACGTGCACGAGTGAGTGAGTGAGTGAGTGGGTGAGTGGGTGAGTGAGTGAGTGAAGAGGCCAGGGTCATCCAGGGAGTTTTCACAGCTTATGGAGGACAGGGTCCCAGATCTCTGGAGCCCACACTGGCTCTCCCAGAGCACCACTGGTTCCATAATAATTGTCCAGGACTTATCGTCTGTCCCACGCCTGCCCGCTCTCAGGTGCACAAGGTGTTTTGCAGTGGCTACTCAATGGTTCAATCCCTGGGATCTGATAAAACCCTGGTTACCCCTCCCAGCATCATTGGGCCACATGGTTAGCCATGATGCTGGCGGTGAGCTTCTGGGAGTCGTCATCTGGAGGCAAAGGAATTTTGCTAAGCTCTGCTCTTAGCTTTTCTCAATTTTTTTGGAGAAATGAGGCATGATTCGAGGTGGTTTTAACTGATCTCTGTGTGCCTTTCCTTGCAGACTCCTGTAAAGAGGCACTTTCTCTTTGATGGAGCCCGATGTCCTTCACAGCCACCGCTCAGGGGGGCGGCCTCTGAGCAAGCCACGTGGCCCGGTGGCCCCCCAGCCGTCCCGAGCACCAGCTAAGGGCTTGCGGAAGGTGGCCCACGGGGGGCTGAGCACCCTCTACCTGCACCTGCTCTCCTTGCGAATGGGGCTGCTGGGCTGGTGTTTCTGCCTGAAGCAGACGCAGTGGAACTTCCTGTGCTGGGTCCACGCTTCCTTGGAGATGGCCACGGACATCTTCTTCTGCTGGGTCCAGAACGCCCTCGTGGCTTGCGTGATGCTTCTGCTCCTTGCTTGGAAAGCCTTCAGCGAGGCCAAGGTGCACCGCTGGCGATCGTGCCCACAACACTCGGCAAGGGGGCAGAGCGGGAAAAAGCAGCTTTTTTTGCAGTTCAGAGGGCATCTCAAGAACTCCCCCAGGGGAGGGGGTGGGGTTTTTTTTGGGGGGGGAGCTGTATTTCCAAAAGGCCATCTTTCCAAGGCCTGGGTGCAGCCTCAATGACGCAGAGGTGGAATCATCAGCTTCCGACAGAGGGCAAGCCGTTTATTAATGAAGCCACAAGGCCAGTTTGCACTCCTTGCTCAAGTCCTGGGCTGGATCCGGCCAGCTGCACTTACCTGGGGTTCGAAGCTTCTCCCACGGCCACTCCGACTCCCCTTCTTCCCCCCCACCCCAACCTGGTGACTCACCTGCTTCCCTTTCTTGTTCCCCAGGCCCTGGGAGCCAGCCTGTCTCGGGCTCTGTCTGTGCTGAAGAGCTGGTTCTGGAAGCTGGTTTGGATCATCTGGACCCCTGCGTTCTGTGCCGTTTGGATGACCTGGTGCTTCATCCGCCTCCTGGAAGTCAGCTACAAGCAGGCTGCCAGGATGGCCGAAGAGGACGAGGAGGACCAGGGAGGACCTCCAGCCGCGGCCCAGCCTCCGTCACCCGGGGGACTTGTCTTAAGGCGGAAGGATGGAATTTAACTGGGATTAAACGGGGCTGGACAGGACTTGGTTCTGAAGCAGTGTTTTTAATCCTCATGCAGGACGGAAGCAGGAGGACCCTTAAGGGTAATTTGGTCCAAAGGAAGTCCTCTCTGCTGGGATTTTGCAGGGAGCTCGGCTCAAGAACGGTTACCAAGTATTCCCGGCCGTCTGCACAAAACAGTTTACTGGTGTTGTGGCTTCCTTGCTACAGGATGGCTCAGTGGCTTAGGTCTCCAGCTGTGGAGCCAGAGGTTGGGAGTTCAATTCCCCACGGGGCCTCCTTGAGGGGCTGGATTCCGTGATCCAGAGGGTCCCTTCCAGCAGTGCAGTTCTAAGACGATTATTATTACTCCAGTTAACAAGCTGTCTAAAATTGCATTAGCCTTTTTTATTTTTTGCTCCCTCCTGCATCTCCTCTTTAGTTTGTGGTTCTTGGCTACTTTCCACCTGGATCACTGCCAAAAAGAGATAGCTCCCATCCCTCATTTGTGCATCTAATCATTTTCTGTCTGCGTGGGGAACTTTGCCGTTACCCCTGACTCACTAGGCGCAAATTTTAGCTCCTGCTCTGTCCCCCCCCAGCAAGCACTCGTCTTTGGTTCTTGTGTTGGGTCTCTTATACTTCCGGCAAGACAGGGTCACAGTGATGGATTCCGGCATGGCTGCTTCCTACAAGCCAACAGGCCTGCTTCTTCCTTGCTGCTGATCTCATGTGGAAAAACCAAGCCAAGCAGCCTTCTGTGCTGTTCTGTCTTGTGCCATTGGGAAAGGGGGCTTCCGCACAACCTCCTGGGCGATGGAGGGCCTGCCGCTTCCATCTGCTACAGGACTGGGCTCAACAACGTTATTTCCCCTTCGGAAGTTGTTCTCTCTCTCTCTTTTCGACAATTCTTTGCTCATTTAACTTTTGCCTAAGCTTTCTTCTCTGACCACTACTCAGGCCAAAGAGGTTTCTGCCTCCACAACAGTGGTCTGTTTTACCTGCGGACTCCATGCAACTGAAGGCATCCCGTATGTTGGCTTCCTTTGGGGCATCGTGTCCACCTGTTGTCTCATGTTTCTCGTTGCTCCGTTCAATTCAAGTCCTTCTTTCTCACAGATCGCATTTCTTCATAGCGCTCCTCAACCCAATGAAACGTGGCCCCGAGTGGATCTTGCTCCAAAGTTCACCGCGGTCCAGTTTCTCAGCCTCAAATGGGCTGGGTGCTCCTCCAGGCGGGGAGTGACTCTAGGCTCCGCCCGCTCGGCCTCATCTCCCCAGGGCGCTCAGCGCCATCCCTCCATCCCTTGCGGCTCTCCCTCCCCCCCAAGCACGGCCCTCTCACACACGCTCTATTTCAAATACTTTTAATTTTAAAAATATTCTCTTCAGTGCTAAAATATCTCTTTCGCTTCCCTGGGTAGCAGCCAGCACTCCTTACTCGCTCACCAACTCGATTCGGCATGCAGAGCGCGATGGAGGACGGTGAGAGGGCAGGTCCGCAGAGGCTGGAGAGGGCCCAAGGGGTCAGTGGCGACCAGGCAGCGGGGTCCTCCTCGTCCCTCCTGGCCCCTTCCCTGGGGGCAGAGTACCGTCTCTTTCTTCCTTTCCATTGCTGGCCGCTTCACCCCACATCTCTATTGCACGACATCCCAGCTGGGCTCCCAGCAGGTCCTGGCCTTCCTCCTGAAAGAGGCCTTCGCTCCCATCAGGAGGATTTTAAAGGGGGGGGGGCTGGCCTCTGAGGCTGCCCAGTAAGTGCTATTTAATGCCTCCCAAGCCACAACCCCCCCCCCAAATGACACTCCCAAAAGAAAAGAAATGAGAGGCTGGAAACGCCCCCCCCCCGACGTGCAAAAACAGGCGAGTATGGTGGGCTAGGTTCAGGGGCACCGGGGGGGGGCTGTTGCAGAGGGTGGGTGGAGGGGCACATTTCAGCAGCAGCAGCAGGGAGGGAGGGAGGGAAAGCTGGCATCTGAAGGAGCCACGGAAACAGCAGGGCGATCCTTAGACAACAGTGCACAAGGTCAGACACAGAGGCGGTATAGAGGCTACCACCCTTCCGGAAAAAAAGGGAGGGTGTTTAGGGAGTAGGGAGCAGATGAACTCCCTGAAAGAACCCACGCCCCAGGGGAGGAAGCAGGCTTGCTAGCTCTCAGAGGCAGTGGGGCACATGGTTTTCTGGTCCAGGCAGAACCTCTTGAGTGGAGGGGCACCAGGATCCTCCTCCCCTCCAGCCACCTGCAGGGCAGAGAGAAAGAAAAAGAGAAAGAGAGAGAAGGAGGAGCTCATCTATGAGAAGCAGAGCAGAGGCTTGGGCACCCTCTTGCTAGCCCACAGCCCTTCTCACAAGGAGACCACAACCGCAGTTCTCAAAGGGGAACTGTTTTATCTCTACAGAACCTTGCTTCATGCATGCTGGGGCTCCCTTTCATCATTGCCAGGCTCTGGATTAAGAATATTAGAGACATTCTGCCTTAGAAGCATCTGAGGTGACGATGTGCGGAAAACCCAGCACTAAACAGTGGTTTTTAGCTCACTGAAATTCTTCATTTTGAGCAACTATTTGCTAGCACACATGCACATAAGCCTCTTCAAAATGACATACTGATCTATACGATGGCTCGTTGATAACCTTAATAGCATATGGAAAGAAGTACATAATTCATCTGACACATGAAATGACCCCTACTTCTCATAAAAATTATAGAAAACGTGTCTCCATCTTTTCTATTAGAACTGAAACTTTTTTATCCTTCCAAAGTTAAACATTTGGACGACTGACTGCTTCTTTCCCCGTAAGGATGGAACCTTGCAGCTTAGACGCATCAGCCGAGCATTCCCGGAGGTTTGAGAAAGGCTAATGTGCCAGGAGTCACAGATCTGTGGCCGGAGCCAAAAAGCGCTGAATGGCCTGTCACAGATGCCTCTGGTGCAGGCTGTACCTGCTGGGTAGCCAAAAACAGGGCGTGGGAAGGAGGCCTACTCCATGACAGTGAACTGGCACGCAATAAGTACATTAAAGGAATGGGGTTGCGCTGCTTTCCCAAGGCCACCTGGCTGGAGAGCCGGGAAGCTGAAGAGCTACTGATGTGGTATGTGGCCTTGGCTGGGCCCTCCCCCAGTGGAGATCTAAAACCAGAAGGCAACGTTTACATCCATTTCTGTGGATGTAACAATACATCTACAGAAACAACTGCCACACCTTTGTCTGTCTGCTACAAAATATGCCAAGCTGATAAAGTGTGCGAACATCTCGGAAGTTCTATGAGATGTATGGAATCCACTGCCAAGAAACATTTTCAAAACCTCACCACATTTGGACATTTTGGTACGGAAAATCTTGGATGAGCCTTGGAATTTAGTAAAAGTCACAAGGCTCCCTCCAAGGGGAAAGGTTCTGAAGGGCGCCTCTCCTTCTGCTCGTTTCCCCGGGTGTGGATCTGTGGTCCTGGGACCTGACCAAGCAGCAGCCTGATTTATCTGGCCTTGATCTGCCGTGCTTACCTGAGCCTCAAGCGGGACCGGCTCCTCCTTGGTGAGGGTTGGTGGCTCGTCGGCGACTTCGGAAGGAGGGAGGGCAGGTTCTGGAAGGGAGGGGCAAAATGGACGAGGGGTTAGCCAGAGAGTCCGTGGGACCTTTACGGGCAGTGCTTGCTACTGGCTTTACTTGCTCCCTGATCCAAACCCCTGTGGGAGCCAAATGCTTTTGGACTCTCACGGCTCATAACAGATCTGCCCAGCTGCTACTCCCTCCTCTACCTGGAAGCACTCTTTGGACACAAATCCCCCTTTCCTCCAACCACAACAGCTCCCCCCCCACAGCCAGCTGATACAAAGATGGGCAAAGCTGAAATCCCTCCCCCCTGGCCTCACCTTCCAAGGCTTCCTGTCCCAGTGTGGGTGGCTGCGAGTCCTCTGCAGGATGGCTGGGGCTCATGGACTCACTCTGCTGGGGGCTTGGGCTGGAAGCTGCACTGCTGTCCGCCTTCAAATGATACGCATCTGACAAGGAGCTTTGGTTGCTGTTCTCGTCTGAAAGGCCAGAAGGAAGAGAAGGGGGGAAGGCTGCTGAAGGCCTCAAGAGGCAGAAGCTGCAGGGCCGGCATCTCCTCGTCCCTGCCGGAAGAGCAAGTAACACCCCACCAGAGTCCGAGGGCTCAGCTTCGGGGTGGGTGGGTGCCACGGCCTGATGCCAGCCACTTTCTACTACCTGCAGGCACAACCCCTGTCTTGAGGAAAGGCTAGAAGGAAACTCACCTTGGAACTCCAGGAGGAGAGAGGAGTTGGCCCCTGCCTCGGCTGGAAAGCCGTTGGGCTCCCGAGCAGCAGCAGCACCGCCAGTGGCTTTGGTCTTCTCTTTCTTAAAGCAGGAGAAAGAAAGGAAGAGAAAAGGAGGCTGTGACCTTGGCTGCTGGTGGGCCAGGAGGAGCCACCATCGCTGGCAGCCAGGCAGGGGAGAGGAGGGGGGGCTTGAAGACAACTCGCCCCACTTAGGGATGGGGCACCGGAGGTGTGTGTGTGGGGGGAACAAGGAAGAGAAGGCCGAAAATCAAGAACGCCACATCCGCCCCTTGGGAGGCCCGTTCCCCAAGACAATGGATCCAAAGAACTCCTCCAGGGGTCGGCGGCTCTATAAAAGGATCCTCCAGATCCGTGGGGCTGCTCCCCATTCGACCGCACACCCCCACTGCCCTGCCTCCCCCGACAGGGTCCGGGGCTCCGGACTCTCACCTCTTTGCTGTTCTCGGCCACAGGGACCCACTTGAATATCCGCAGGGACGTGTCTCCCACCGTCACCCACTTCTTCTCCCTGCAGGACGGGACAGGCGGAAGGATAGATAAGAGGCGCCGAAGCTGGCCTGTAAGACCGACCAGGGACCCTCCAGGCTCTGGCTCAGGGCCTGGACCTCAGAAAAGATGTGTGCTTTCCTCTCTCTTTCAGGGGGATTCTGGGAATTGTAGTCCCCCCTCTAAAAACGGCAATGCTGGTCTACCCCACGAGGATGTTGGGGTTACTTTGGTTTTTTTTAAGGCCCTGAAGAAAGAGAGGCGGTGCTTTCTTTCTGTGGAAGAGGGTCCCTTTTGAAGGGGGGGACTCCAACTCCCAGAATCCCCAGACAGCCTCGCCCTCGCCGTGTTCCCGGTCTACCTCGCAGGGCCGTCGTGAGGATTACTGAGCAGCGTCGCCCCCACTCCCCCTTCCCACACGCCAGCTCAACCAGCAGGGCCGCCACCCGGGAAGGAGCTGCCTGAGGCGCCCGGTCCTTATTCCGGTCGCGCACCGGGAAGCGTGGGCACACGGGTCGCCATGACAACGCGGCCCCTCAGGAAGGGATTGGGCCAGGATCTTACCAATCCAGGCCGAGAGTCGTGATTGGCCGTCGACCCCGCCAATCGCATCCCACCCCGAGGCCCAGCCGCTTTCGGCCGTCGCCACAGGATTGGCCGCTCTTTGGCGATCCCACCCAGTGCACGAAAAGGCCGCCTCCAATTGGCTACTCGGCTGTCATCGAGGCCGCGTTCGCCGGGGACTGGCCGCGGTGCCGGCGGAGCCCTCCCCTTCGCCCCCTCCTTCCTGCTCTCCATCCCTCACCACTTGCGGACGCGCTCGATGGCTGCCATGACCTTCTTGATGTGAACCCGACCCGCCGCAGCTGCCGCCGCTTTGCCCGGCAGCGCTACGCATGCGCGCGCTCATCACCCTGCCCCCGCCCCTCCGTGCGTAACGCGTCAGTGCCCTCGTCCGGACGGGGGGGGAAGCGCGCGTGTCCTGACTGCGCATGCGTGACATTTCCTTCTCCTCTCCCCCACCCCCGTTTTGGGAAGGCAGAGCTACTAGGGGCACCCGCCGCAGCTGCCGCCGCTTTGCCCGGCAGCGCTACGCATGCGCGCGCTCATCACCCTGCCCCCGCCCCTCCGTGCGTAACGCGTCAGTGCCCTCGTCCGGACGGGGGGGGAAGCGCGCGTGTCCTGACTGCGCATGCGTGACATTTCCTTCTCCTCTCCCCCACCCCCGTTTTGGGAAGGCAGAGCTACTAGGGGCGGGACCTCATATTGTGGGCGGGCTTAGAACTCTGTGCATGGGCAGGGGCCCAATTGTTTGCAGTACAGTCATATCAACACTGTAAATAAAACTATCGGCTTGTGAGCATAATGGATCAAATAGATAAAAAATTAGTTATTAAGGAAAAAACTCACGTAGTCTCTGTCCATGATGCCAATGCCAAAGCCCCTCCTTTAGATGCAAAGGTAGCATGTTCAGGCCTCTCCATCCGCAGGCAGATATGAACATCGGATCCTGCCAAGAGGCCTGCCAGAGCATTTAGGAGCAAGAATGTCGAGTTGCCTCAATGTGTAATCCAAGCCTCTGCACATAAACAGAGTTCATTCCTTTCCAAGCTAGAAACTGGACAGCTACCTCCAAGGGACACAATAACACCAATGCCATTGCATATCTATCAGCTCAACAAAATATTCTGAGTATGCTCAGAGGCACACGACTTCAGTTAATACACCATAACTATAGATAGGCCAGAACAGAATCGCAGCCCTAAAAATCTGATTGAATGGGCACATGAAGGGCTGGCTGAAGCTCATTTGCCGTTGTTAGTATGTAGTAGAAGGGCAGAGATGGAAAGTAACAAAATGCTCTCCACAACATACCTTGGGTATGTCAGGATTTGAACCATGGACTCATTTTAGACTGCCATGGCCACTTTTTGAACATCCAGGGTGTTTCTGTAGCTACTTGTTATTCATCCAAATGCTCTCCAGTTAATAGACATTTTGGCTTTTCTTATCATCACTGCCTGTTTTTTTTACTACGGAGGGATCTTTCTGGGGTGTCTCAAAATCAAGCAGCAATGAATAAGACCGTTAATTCTCTAATGGTGGTAGAAGGTAGAGGACATGAAGTCACATAAGTAGTAGGGATAGAATGTTATTCAAACATTGCCCACTGTGAGGCGTCCGTATGTGAAGGCCAAGTGGCAGAGAGCATGATCCAGCAACACTTTTCATATGTCCTGCAGTGACAGCTCCCGGTTCATCATCTAAACCCAGAGCCTTATGTTACAATCCTGCATTATCTACTCAGAAAGAAGCCTTGGTGAGCTGAGTGGGGATGTAATCCCAGGTAAAATAAGGAATCATCAAACTAAATGTACAAATGCCTGCACCCCCACCCAAAATTATCAAAGATGAAGTAGGTGGAATGCCTGTATTGCAATTCCTCTAAGCTGACCTTCTAGACAGTTGCTAGATATATATTTTTTCATTGCTTTGTGATGGTTTGACAAGATGACAAAAAGAAAGGAGGTAAGGCATCAAGGTAATTCAGGTAATCTCTTACAATCAGCATTTTCAAATAGTTCTGTGGAAGATGGAATAACTGAATTAGAAGGGGCCATCAAGTCCAACCCCCTGCTCAGTGCGGGAATCCAAACCAAAACAGACCTGACAGATGGGTGTCCAGTTTTCTCTTAAATGCCTGGAGAACTATCAGTCTGTTTTTCACTGCCTGGAAAAAAAACCTACAAAGTGCAAGGATCCTGCCCATCTCCTGCCCCTGGAAAGGCAAACGATCACAGCCGGTGGGGCAACTGCAAGGACAACAACAGGGGAAGAGACATTTCCATGATGGGATTTCCAGGCAGCCAGGACCATTTCTGGCTTTGGGTCTGAGTCTGCCTTGACCCTCCTGTTCCTACATTCCTCACCAATCTATGTCAATCGCCTTGCTCTGAAGATAATCCCAGGAGGGCAGCAGTTGTGCAGAATTTATTTTATTACGTGTCACCCTGCATGATCGAATCCCGGCCCTGCGTCGGCCCACTGCAGTCTCCTCCCTGCCGAGTGGGGAGGGGGCCTCAGTGGGCTTTTCCGTGAATGCTGTCCAGGGCGCTCTGGGCGCTGGCGATTTGCTGCTGCAATCTATGCTTGGTTGACTCGTTGGAGGCCTTCTTCAGGAGCGCCTTCATCTCTTCGATCACCGCCCGGTAGCCGACGGTGTTGTGAAAGACCCGGATGGCCCGGTCCCCGCAGGAGACGAGGAAGCGGCTGGTGGTGTCGAAGGCCAAGTCTGTGATGTGCTCCCCGTGGACCCCCTCAAAGCGCTCCTCCTCTTCACCCTGCTGGGTGTTGTAAACAAAGATGCTGGTCCTGGAGGAGATGGCCAGGGATCTGGCATCAGGAGCCAGGGCGATGCAGCAGGGCTCCGTCACCGCGCACTTCCCCGTCAGCAAGAGGTAAGGGTCCTGCTGCTTCTTGTACTCCACGTCGGTGTCCCACACCTTCCACGTGCCATCCTTGGAAACCGTGGCCATCCTGCGCAGGAGAGAAAGAGAAAGCCTTAGTACAGTCTCTCCTTTAACGTGGTCCAAACAATGAGGCAGGTAGAGAATCCTGCCTCCCCAAGGTGAGAAATGGCTGGAAGGAGATGCCACCTCGTCTCTATCAAACTGGGAGGCGGGGAGAGGTAGGACTCTCAGGTCTGGGATCTCAAACTGATACACTGGGCTCAGACAGGCACACACTCTTTCCCCATGACACCGTTGGTCTGGGGCTTCCCACTCTCTGAACATAACTTTTTTTTTCATTCTGAAATATTGAAATATGTTTCCTTACTAGAGGATAATGCTGGGGATCAAAGGCAGCAGGAGAAGAAGAAGAAACATGAGATGGACTTTCATAAAGGAAACCTACTTTGGGAACATCTGGAGAAGACCAGACTGTCTGCCACTGGAAAAACACAATAATGCTAGGAGAAGTTGAAGGCAGCAGGAAGATTATACAGGAGATGGATTGACTCCATAAAGGAAACCCACTTTGGGAACATCTGGAGAAGACCAGACTGTCTGCAGGAGACAATAATGCTGGGAAAGGTGGAAGGCAGCAGGAAAAGAGGAAGGTTAAATACGAGATGGACCGACTCCCTGAAGGAAACCATGGTCTTGAGTCTACAAGAGCTGAGCAGGACTGTTGGGGACAGGACATTAGGGGGACTTAGGTCACTTAGGTGAGCTGAGCAGGACTGTTGGGGACAGGACATTAGGGGGACTTAGGTCACTATAAGTTCAGGGCGACTCGATGTTACATAACGACTGAAGTTACGCAGAAGACGAATAAATAAAAAATAAATAAATAAATAAGTCCAGGGTGACTCGATGTTAAGTAACGACTGAAGTTACGCAGAAGACCAGTTTCAAGCTTTAGGAGGCTGGTGTTTGAGGCTCCACTCCTTTGCCCTCCACCTCCCCTGCCATTGGGAAGCAGCCCCTGAGAACTTTAACCTGAAATTTAATCCAGCCTTTGGAATGAGAGAGTTTCCCCATCCTGAGTCCACGAGCTGTTTTCTGAAAAGCAGAAGGTGTTGCTGTGGCCTGGGAGCGTGGCCTTGAGAGGTCAGCCATCGTCCCTTCCCTGAACCTTTTTACTAACACGATTGATCAATGTTTATAAGGCACCTGGATTTTTATATACAGTATGTGGTCTCTGGATATTAAAAAAAATAGACTCTATCCAACGGGCTCACAAATGAATAGAATCAAAGTAAGGGAAAAAGAGGAACAGGGAGGGTAAGTAGCCAAGGGAGCCGCTGTTCCTTCAGCCCAGTCACCCGGAGAGGAGATTCACCCCAAGAGAGCAGGAAAGGCCAAAGGCCCCCTGATCCACCCAAGCCCAACACAGCGAAGCCTAGTGGCCCCAAAAGGTGGCGCACAAGCACGGCAGGAGAAAAGATCTGGCCACCTGACAAATTTCTCACCTTCTGGAGTCGTTGGAGAAAGAAAAGGAATAGACGCCAGCCGTGTGGCCTTTCAGCTCAAAGGCTCTGGTCACTTCCCGGAAGTCTCCACTTTTGCTGAAACAGACCTCCCAGACTTTCACGTCTGGCGTGAAACCACACGAGGCGACAAACCTGGAGGGAAGGAAAAGAAGAAGAGGAGGGCACAAGGGTGCCGTTTTCAAGCCACCCTCTTTCCCGAGGCCCTCTTGTGTTGATTTGGGGGACTCCCAGCAGGAAAACGGTCCTGTCTCTCCAGGAGGAGAGAGAAAGGCATCCATGTGACCTTTATTGATTGATTGATTTGTATCCCGCCCTTCTGGTCTATGCGACCACTCTGAGCAGCTTGTGGAGAGGAGCTCAGAGCGCCACTTGCCCCTTACCTCCCACAGGGTGACACAGCGGCAAACGTGTTATTCATCTGGTTAGTGTTGATGGTGCTCAGGACTTCCCCTTTCAGATCCCAGATCAGGATGGTAGTGTCGCTGGAAGCCGTCATGATGTACTTCCCTGGAGAGGGGAGAAAGGGGCAGAAAGAAGGGGCTTATCATGGCCAATGTAGTGTCCGATATTCAGAACAATGGACAGGGTTTGTGTTTTCTTTGGACTTTTTTGCAACAACAGGCGCTTACCTGTATCAGCGACACCGATGTTGATGACGGGGGCTTTGTGCTGTTTCGGGAAGTCTTCCGGAACGGCAACGTACGTAAAGCTGCCATCCTCCTTCTTGGTCATCTTAAAGAGCCGGAGGGTGTCACCATTGGCTAACCAGACCACAAACGCTCTGAAGAGATGAAAGAGAAGGTTGGTCGCGATGGCTTGTGAAGCGGTAAAAGATTCAACTTGCCCAGGATGGTTGCCGAATACCCTTAATTGGGCTGAAGGTCAACAGAGCTCTGAGTTTACTCTTTGTCTGGAAAACTTCTATCAGCCCCCTAAAAACTGTCATCTTGGGAAACCCACGCTTTTAGTTATAACAGCTCCTGGAGCTTGAGCCCAAAAAGGGAAGAACTGATGGGAGAGGAAAAAAAGTATCCAGATTTCTCAAAGAACCAGATTTGATTTTTTTTTACCTTCTTGCTGGCAGGGCATTCTGTGAGTTGTGGTCCGAAAAGGGCATTTTAAGGCAGTGTTTCTTAACCTTGGGTTACTCAGGTGTTTTTGGACTGCAACTCCCAGGAACCTTCACCACCAGCTGTGCTGGCTGGGGTTTCTGGGAGTTGCAGTTCAAAAACACCTGAGTAACCCAAGGTTAAGAACCCCTGCTTTAAGGTCTATCACTAAAACTTATCTGGCGCCTCAAGAAGCTGAACGATGCAAGAGGAAGGCTTAAATCTTATCGGCTCTGCTTTTTCCCTTTCGTGGCTACTCCTCGACAGTTCGACAACAAGGAAACACAGCTATGAGGAAAATAGAAGGCATCAATGGCAAAATATCCCTGTCTGTGATGCAGAATATTAGGGTGGTCCCTTCCGCGTCTGCTATGGTGGAATTCAGTCACACTGCTGTAGGTCTTCTTGACCTGAGAGGCTGGTGATTCCTGCACCTTCCTCACCTGTCCAGGGGGACAAAAAAGCAAGGGGAAGCAAGAAGATCACTCCACAGGCACCTGTCCCACCTGGAGTCTGGGTAGAAGCGGACCAGGGTGGCATGATCCAGCTCCACGTTGGCCCGCATGCAGCGGTGCTCCCGTTCCAAGAAGTCCTTGGTGCTCCAGATGCGCACCGTCCGGTCATCAGAGCAGGACGCCAGGTACTTCCCATTGCTGCTGAAGTCGAGACAGGTGACGCTCCCGCTGTGGCCCTACAGAACGACAATGGGATCAACCACTGGCCTCTCTACGAGAAACCAGGAGTGATGTTTTAGGATTCGGCCAGAGAGCAGGAAACAACAGGAAACCCGACTTCCCAAAACCTTGGAAGACACTGACTGTGCTAGCAGGTGAGTTTTGAAAAGACAAGCTATAAAAAACTTAACAGATGCATCAACATAATGCTATTTTTCTCTCTTCCTTCAAACCTTAATTCTCATTCTACTTCCCTGCCTTCTTCCTCCACACCAGTAGAGTTAATATGGCTGCTGATTTCCTTCACTTTCCCCCTTTCTTCACTGTCAGCAGGGTGACATTGTTATCCCCAATGCTACACACATGGGTTCTTAAGGATACCATGACCAACAGGCATGGTTAGAAAACCACAGTGAAAGCAAAGAATGCTGCTTCTATATAAAGCACTGTCTGGGTGGTTAACAATTTCATTATACAACCCTCCCTCAGGAAGGAGGGTACTCAATTTACTGAACTTGGAAGGCTGAACTTCGAGCCAGCTACCTGGGATTGAATTTGGGTAGTGAGCAGAGTTTTGGCTGCAGAACTGCAGTTTAACCCTTCTGCCACAAGTACTCCCAGTAGCAGAGACAGACAAAACCAAGCCAATGAGATATCCCTGATATTTGTGTAGCTTCCCCAGGATTCAGAGCCGAAAGCAGGACGGCAGGTAGGAGCAGAAAGGTATCTGGACCCTTTCGTGGTCCTTCTAGTCCCTTCCATAGAAGAGAAAACAAGCCAGGCCTTAGGACCGCAGAAATCAAACCAGGTGTAGAAGGAGGCAGGGCAACATGAGCAACACAACCTGGAGCCAAAAATTCCACAGGACGCAACCAACAGTGTTTGGAAGAGCTTTGCTGGACTCACCTTGAGGGCCGAAGCCAGAAGCGGGTGCGAAAAGGTGTGTTGCTGAGGCTTCTCCTTTCGGATTCGCTGCTGCTGCTTTTGCTTCTTCAGGAGGGAGGTTTTGCTGGTTGCTTCGCCGTTTACACTCTCATCTAGAGAAAACCATGAAAACAAACTGCCTTCATGTACACAGAAGGCTGCAGATTACTAGCAGAACATTCTGCTTCGAAAGCAAAAGAGGAAGGGCTGCTGGAAAAACGGCTGCCCTGCCTCAAACATTGTGAAGCCCTTGTAGGCCATGAGCGAAACCAGTGCTGAGGAATACTCTGAGGAAGCTGCCTCCCTGTGGGCCAGGACAAAATGACTGGTCCAAGCCACTGGCTGAAGGATCAAAGAAACGACAGGGGAAATTTGAGCCGGTCTGTTTCTTGGTCCAACTGAGCTGCTGCTGCTGACCTATAAAGCCCTCATATAGTTTGGCTCCTGCCTATTCAAACAGCCTCGTCTTTCCCATAGACACTTCTCTGGATTTTAAGGTCTCTGGGGAAAAGCCCTTTTCCGAGTTCCACCACTCTCCTAGTCATCCTCGTTTTTTCCGTAAGGATGCTTATAGGCTGCCTAACCTTCTGGTCCTCCCCTGTCATTCTTCTACAATCAGGGGAAAAAACTTCTACATGCCTTTGCCCCTAACTAGCCAACACTCTGGGTCTCTTAATGGTAGGTATTGTATCCGCCGTCCCAAGAACACTAGTTTTAAAGCAGTCCAATGTATAGGTTTTTCATTTTTTTAAGAAATAACAGCAACAGCATGCTTAAAAAACCAAAGCTATCCAAAAACTTCAGTTACTGCGACTTTCTATCTATAAATCTGCTAGATAGTCATTTATATTTGACAACAGCCCTTATCCAAGCAAAATTCCGCTTATGAGTCCATTTTACAGATGGAAGCAACTGAGTCTACCAGGAAGCCCCGCCCACAAAGCTTGTGGGCGTGGCTCCGCTGCCGGCCCGCCCACAGGCCTGCGTCCGGCGGGTCTTGGAATAAACCCCGCCCGCACAGGGGTGTGGGCGTGGCTTGGAAAGGAAGCCCCGCCCCCGCGAGCCAAACTCCCCCTCCTTTACCTTCGAGGGGAGGGCTCGGCCCCGCCTCCCGGGTGCCGGACCCCACGTCCCGGTCTTTCCGCCGCAGGAGGAGGAGGACCAGGCCGAGGACGAGGCCGCCGAGGACCAGCGAGAGCCCCACCAGCGAAGCCCCTCCGGCGTCGGGCGCTTCCTCCTCCATCGTCGTCG